CGAAGCTTCGGAGCGGAATAAAGTTAATCAGTGTGATTAATTATTAGTGTCTTTAACTTTAATTAGTGTAAAGTGAATTAAAGTGTTAATTTAGGTAATTCTATCGGCAATTTTTATTGTCACGAACCTCAAGCTCGTAACATTACTAATCCGTTGGGCTATGTCGGTCACTCTGGTTTTACTGCGGATATCCTCATTTCTGAGTCAATCATGCAGAGAAACTCCGAGCATAGCCCTCTCCATAGCTCGCTGAGCGACCTTGAGCACAAAAAAAAGATTGATATATATTAATGTATTTAAAAAAACTAGCGCGCCGCGTTGAAACGCACCCCCTACTTCAGCGGCCCCTGCCGCTCCTTCAACCTCCGCAGCCCTTGACGCTGCCCCCGTCCCACTGATGTCACTAGACATCCCCACTTCATCTAAACCAGCCTCTCGTTGTGCTCCAGAGCTGGCGAAGAAGCAAGTCCCGCCCCCTGTCTTCCTAAGAGACAAGGCCAAGTTCACCCAATTGTCCAAGACCTGCTACGACGCAGGGATTAAATACGACCATGCCGTCAACCTCGGGGAGGCGATTAAAATCATCCCAACCTCAATCGAGGACTTCCGCGCCATCACCCGGCTATTCACAGCCGAAAGGGTCTCTTACCACACCTACGCTCTCCCTGAAGAGCGTAAAGTCAGGGCCGTCATCCGAGGCGTCCCATTTGAGTTCTCCAACGAGGAAATCCTCGAGGACCTTAAGTCCCAAGGTTTCCCAGTAGAAGCAGTGCACAAAATGCACAACCGTACGGGCAAGAGATACAACCTTGCCCTAGTAATCTTGTCCAACGTGCCGGAGGCTAAAGCCATCTTCCGGCAGGTGCGCACAGTGTGCGGCATGTCAAGGGTGAAGGTAGAGCCCCCACATAGGCCCGGTTTCCCGGCGCAGTGCCACCGCTGCCAACTTTATGGTCACGCGGCGGTCAACTGCTCCGCCCCACCCAGGTGCGTGAAGTGCCTGGAGCCACACAACACTAAAGAGTGTCCCCGGCCCAAAGACGCCGAATCCCCGCCCGCCTGTGTCCTGTGCAACCAGACAGGACACCCGGCGAACTACAAGGGTTGCCCACGCGCACCTCAACCTCGGCCCAGTAGGAAGGCTCCACCGCCGGTGAATGACCGCTCATTCCCGGCCCTCCAACAACGGCCCCGTCAGGGCCCCTCTCAGCCTATCCAGGGCTTCTCTCGACCCTCTCAGGGTCCCGCTAGGCCCCCTCAGGGTCCCCCTAGGCCCCCTCAGGGTCCCCCTAGGCCCCCCTCAGGGCATAATTCGGCCCCCCTCCGGGCTTCTCAAAGCCAATGCAGCCTCCAGTCTTTCCCTGGGGGCCCAAAAAAGGCAGACCCTCCGCGGACAACCTCGTACGCACACGAGGCAGAGCCCACAACAGACGACTACAACACGCTATACTCCGCGATTAGGAATATAGATGTTAGAGAGATTACAGTTATAGCACGCAAACTGCGCGCGGCGAAGTCCCCCCAAGAGCGTCTCCTCGCTCTTGCCGAACATAACGATCTTCTGCTAGCGTTGTAAGTTAATTTAACGTAATTAACTTAACTCCAATGCCTGAGCAAACTAACCTACCAAGATCCCATGGTCGTATCAAACCTAAGGGTTTATCGCTTGTATCATTTAATATTCGCGGCTTGCGAAATAACCTCCCAGAGCTTAAGCTCTTTCTTCGAAATCGTGAAGTCGATTTCCTCCTCCTACAGGAAACTAATCTCAAAGCTAAGGACACTAGAGGCCTTTCTATTAAAAACTTCTCTCTTCTTCGTAATGACAGACCCGACCGCCGAGGCGGCGGAACGGCCATCTATTACAAGAAGACACTTCACTGCTCGCCCATTTCTACTCCGCAGCTTACCAACATGGAAGCCACGGTATGCAGGCTAGCTATGACTGGACATCAGTACGTCCTCATAGCCTCCTGTTACATCCCTTCAGGAACCTATCCCCTCAAAAAAGACTTTGAGGCCATTTTATCCTTGGACAATTCAGTCATTATGTTTGGAGATTTTAACTCAAAGCATACTGAATGGACATGCCGCACTACGTCCCCTAGTGGCAAGATACTGCTCGATATCACGCAGTCTCTTGATATCACCGTCCATAGTCCTCTCGGTGTTACTCACTTTCCCGATAACACCGATCACTCACCTGATGTGTTAGATTTTGCGTTACTCCAAGGAGTTTCTCTCAACCTCAGAGCAATCGAGACACTAGACGATCTAGGATCAGATCACCGACCGGTCTCCCTCATTCTTGGCCATCAGCCACCTCCCCCAACACACACGAAAACCTTCACTAACTGGAAGGGATTCAAGGAGTCCCTAGCTAAAGCCCTGGACTCACAGGATTCTACCATCTCCATACCGACGGACTTAGACAGTCCTGAAAAAATCGACACCGCGGTCGATTCACTCTCCACCCTTATTAAATCCTCCCTTAAGGAGAACGAAAGGGTCGTCCCGGTTGCTAACAATAGTGGGCTTCCCCTACATATTAGCAACCTAATAAAAGCCAAAAAAGCTGCTTTCCGGAGAGCAGCAAAATATCCCACCCTCGAATATAGGCGCGCGGCCAATCGTCTTCAACGAAAACTCCGCTTCCGCCTCTCTGAATTTCAAGATCTCGAAAAGAGTAAGCTCATGGAGAATATCTCTCCATCTCACACAGCGTACTATCAGATGGCTAGAGCCCTCCGCATAGACGCTATCACCCACACTCCCCCCCTCTCCCGTCCCGACGGCACGGTTGCCTTCGAGGACGAGGAAAAGGCTGAGTGCTTTGCGGATAGCATTGCCGCTCAATGCTCCCCTAGCTCTCAACCTGTCGACCCCTCACACGTCCAGGCAGTGGAGGATGAGGTCCGCCGCCGGAACTCACCCCCCACGGCCTCCGAACCTATCTCTGTGTCCAATGATGAGATTTCATCTCTCATCAAAGGACTTAAGCCCAAAAAGGCTCCGGGCGCGGATGGCATCTCCAACCAAGCCCTTAAACACTTTCCCGAGCAGGTGTTAACCTTTTTATCTATTATCTTCAACGCCTGCTTCAACCTTAGTTATTTTCCCACTACGTGGAAAGAGGCAACTGTGATTGGAATTCCCAAGCCAGGTAAGCCTCTCAACCTCCCCCTCCAGCCATCGCCCCATTAGCCTCCTCAAGGCAATGGGCAAGCTCTTCGAAAGAGTCATTCAAACGCGTATGAGGCGCTTTCTGTTTCCCACAGACGGCGACCCTCTCATCATCCCCCCACCAATTCGGCTTCCGAGACAAACCACATGTCCCCAACAAGTTCACCGCATTGTGGAATATATCCTCAGCGGTTTCTACCCTCGACGTCATAAAACCATCGCGGTCTTCTTCGATATAGCCAAAGCTTTCGATAGAGTCTGGCACACAGGCCTCATCTACAAGCTCTATAAAATAGGTCTCCCCGATCGTCTAGTTCGTCTCGTGGCCTCCTATTTAAAACATCGTACCTTTCGTTTTAGACACGAAGGCACGCTTTCTTCACAGCGAACTATCAAGGCTGGTGTCCCTCAGGGCTCAGTACTTGCTCCTCTGCTGTACATCCTGTTCACCAACGACATTCCCATCCCGTCGAAAGGTGTTCAACTCTCCCTCTTTGCAGACGACACTGCCATCTACTGCAAAGGTGTCTCACTACCCTTCATACGGAACAAGATCCAAAAGTCAGTTGATGACCTAGGAGCTTGGTTCAAAAAATGGCGCATCGATGTGAACCCGGAGAAGAGCTCCGCCGTTCACTTCGATTATAAACGACGCCGTCTCAAAAACACTCCTCCAATACGTATGCTAGGGACCCCTGTCCCCTGGCATACGTCCGCCAAATATTTAGGTGTCACTCTAGACACAGGGCTTACTTTCAAGCCCCACGTCAAAAGAGTAACCCGTCACGCACGATTTTATCTGAGTAGGCTCAACAGTATGTTGGGCCGACACAGTAAAATGTCCCTTCGAAACAAGCGTACCCTCTACAAGGTATGTATACGACCAGTCATGTCCTACGCGGGCCCCGTCTTTGCCCACGCAAACCCTAACATTTTAAATGAACTCCAAATAGTTCAGAACCTATTCTGTCGTCGAGCTGCGAACGCACCGTGGTACGTTCGTAATGCCGACCTTCATCGGGACTTAGAGCTCCCAACAATTCAACAATTTCTTAAAAAACTCTCTGAGAACTTCTTCAAAGCCTCAGAGTCGCACCCAAACCATTTAACTCGTGAGGCAGCTTCTTATGCAGCCCCACCCCCTCTCGCTATCGTGTCCGCAGGCCGAGAAACTCTCTCTCGGACCCGCCTAATAAACTTTCAAACGACCTGAACTGTCTCCTGGCGGCTCAGGCCAACTCTAATTAAAAAAAATTATTGTAATATCTAACATTAATTTGCCTTCGTAGGCACTCCCTCAGTGGCACTTAGCCACCTGCGCCCTCTTTTCCCAAAAGAGGGTCGCTCATGATAAGGCACAATAGAGCTTAATCAGCCGGTTGCCTGTCCCCAAAGGCGGTTTTTAGGGGGTATCACTTAGGGTCCCCGGTAGGACAGTGAGTCCCCCATAACCACGATAGACCGGCTATCGTGGTATGCGTAATGCATTTTCCGCCTCCCCTACGTACAGGGTAGCCCTTTAATTGCTTCGGGCGCAAAAAAAAAAAAAAAAAAAAAAAAAACTAAATTTATATTTTCACATTACATTGTAAAAAAGTTGTATTGTAAAACTTATTTAGCATGGAATAAAAGGCTGTTTTTTTATTTTATTTATTAACTTTAATACGAAAATGACATTTTAAATATTTAATATTTACGATTAAAACTAACTATATACAATATAAAAGAAAAAACTATAAGATAGAAAATCTAAAACTAAAAATACGAATACCAAATTATAGATGTGTTATGAGAGTTGGGGTGTCTGCCTGTAAACGCTACGTTTTTCTAACTACGCCAAATTCTGAACTTTGTCGTCCCAAAGGCAGTAACTTCTGGCCTAGCCTTCTAAAAGTATTGCGAAACTGTTGACTCATACTACAGTACAATACGAAGTTGACAGCGGATCCCACTAGCGCCATTAAGTCCATCACCTCACCTGTGAAAACAAGCAACAGTACATTTACTTATTTTGAGAAACATTATGACACATTTTGCTCATGTACTCAATAATACCTTTTTTAATTTTTAGAAGTCACAGATTACCCCCTAAGAGTTAGGGGGTAATCTGTGTAAAAAGTTAAACAATATTTTTATGTCCATTTTATTTATTAATTCGTGACCCAAGTATTTCTTCTTCTTCATCAGGCCGTTAAAGTTTACTGCTGCATATGGGCCACCTCGAGAGAGGATTTGCCTTAGTCGTCACTCTTGGCAGGCGTATTTGGAATCGCAGAACCAGATATCACCACCGATGCAGCTGATGGCTCGAAGGCCCGACGTAAATTCCTCGAAAGGAATTTACGTCGGGAGCAAACAAGATATGCAATACCGTCACCTTTTACACCACCTACAGGATAAATTGGGGTGATAGATTCTGTTATCGGATTTTTACTTAAATAAAATCAATTCCTCTTGTGTAGTTTATGTACAGTTTGTAATGTAAGAGCGTGACCGGCATAAATTAAAAAAAATTGATTGACCCTACAGACCATCCCAGGAACTTCCTGCTAATTTTAATATCAAAGCGCTAAATCCTACTTATTTTTTGATTTATGGCAATTGTCGCAATTTTTTAACGTAACACAAAAGCTTATTACACGTGTGGCACTCGGGGACTGCCGACTGCCGTAAAGCTATTGCATAGCATGTTGTATCAACTTATGCAATTATAATTATTTTTTATTTATTTTATTTATGCAGTTTTTTTTCTTTGATATTAATTCAAGTTACACTTTTTGAGCGTGGTGACCGATAAGAAAACAAATTTAAGAGGGCTACTTTTAATATCGCTCATTTTAGTATCAAAAATTAGGTGTTCTTTATAGCAGTATTATATTTTCAATTCAAAATTAATAGTGCATTTGTGATAATAATAAAATGTATGTATATAGAGTACTCACTCATTTTCTTTCACTATTTTTTCGTGACTTTCTTCATTAATAATAAATGCACTTTGTTCATTCATATTTAAAACACTTTATACACAAATTTTACAAGTACAGCTATTCACTGTTGTACATAGATACCTATACACCTGTATACTTTCTCATAAACAGCTGCTTATGTACTCGTCCAATTTCGGAGCAGCTCGTCTCGATTCGTGGGAGCTTCGTAGAGTCGTACAATACGTCTAGTTGCACGCACATAAACACCGTGTCGAAGACTGCCGAAAAGAAACGACGTTAGACAATGCACGGCCTTCAAGCCACACCTCCGTGCCCGTCGGAATGGGGAGCGTGAGGTTTTTTTTCGTTACGGAATTTCTGGATTCGGTCCCCGCGCTCAAGGCCCGCGATAGAAGCTATGCAATAGCTTAAAAATTATTTCATGAAAATTTTTCAAGTTATTTAAAAAAAAACACTTTGCAATCGACTTCGTTTTTTGAGTAAAAAAGCTGATTAGATTATAGAATTGATTAAAACTAGGGTTTCGAAGTAATTCCAAGAAATTTACTTTTTGAAAATTAAAAATACCTACTTCAATTTTTGAGGTTTTCTCAGAATCAATCGTGACGATTCGGTCTAAATTCACAGATAATCTAAGTTCAGCAAGGTTCTTTTAGTTGCCAAAAATCGTTTTTCGATCGGCCACTCCATTACAAAGTAATGAGATGTTCACGTGTACACGCACGCACGCACGCACATATAACTTCCCCATTTTTTGAAACTCATTGATTTTCATAGTGGGAAGTTAATAAGACTAGCGTTCAAAAAATAAAATATGTAGTAAACTATATGCATTTGGATGCTTTATTATAAATAAGGTGTCCAGTCTCCTCAGTTGTCCATAGTTGCCTGGCATACTTTCCACAAATTTTGCTGCGCAATCACGGAATAATTATTTCCATATGGCCTTTAAATTGTGAGTAAGCTTGGCAAGAGTTAGTGTTTTTTTTCTTCTTTGAAGTTAGTTTCTCATGTGCGGATCGCAGAGATAAACGTGGAATTTTTGAAAATAGACAAGTTATCCTCGGCGAATGAGGTCTTTCTTACTAATTCTGGTAAGTCATCGACGTGTTTTGCTTTTAACTACCGGTTCACGCACTTAGTCACGATAGCTTTTGATTTTTTCATATAATTTGCGGCCTAAAAGCATGACATTTTTGGACCTTTGGGATGCAAACAAAGGAACACTGCCTCATCCTTCTGTTTATCTGTTTCTGGTCTGTTCTACCTGCTCGAATTTTTTGTTTTGCAAAAAAGTTTAAAGTATTTTTTTTAAGTGGTAACGATCTTGTGAAACACGCTGTACTATATTATTTGAATCCTTTAATTACCTGACAACCTCAAAGTCCATTGGCGGGTTAGGATTTTATGAGATTTTGACCTAAGACGTGTCATTGGAGGCGTTGGCTGTTACGCGGTTTACTATTATTGTAATCATCACGCGCAACTTAAAATCAATTATGGCCACCATGACGAATTTTATTGTGGTCATAATATACTTTAAAACATTGAAAATATCCAGTGTTTGAAGTCCAATCAAGGGCCATAACGAGTACTTACCGAAAATATACAGAGTTATTTTTCAAAGAATAGCCAAATTTTATTGCAGGTTTTGAAAATAAGAGTAAATAAGATTTCTACCTTTATTGGAAACTATCCCAAATTCTATGTGACTTATGAGCAACAACGTTTTTGCCTACCGATTAACCCTTATAAATGTGTATGTGCTGTTAGCCTTAGTGCTGCACTGCCTCTTAATAATGTTGACTTAGCTTTAAGGTTCAGTGAGTATTGCAGTTTGGCCACAGCAGCCTGTTTCTATCTTCAAACCTGCTCGGTTGTCTACGGAACTAAACTAAATTCTAATCAATTTCTAATTTATAATGAATTTAAACTATAATTAAATTTCAATGTTTTAAATAATTCTTTTTTTTTAACAAATCAGCCCGTCTCCGTATATATATCAGTAATATCAGTTAAAATAATGCATTTCCACGCAATTTGAATCTAAAAATTCTTTTTAATTAATTTTATTCAAAATTTGCCTTTACTTATTTTGAACCTTCTATGCTAATTTGACCGGTTATTGCAAAATAATCCTAACATATATTAACAAAAAAAAACAAACAATACCAGACTTTATAACATCATAATATCAAATTAAACTTACCACAAGTTTATAGTAAAAAACCAATAAAGAATAAAATAATCAAACTGGCTGCGGCTATAAGCAATGGTCTAATATTATTTCATGATTATTTGTCATTTTTGATAAAATAATACAACCTTATTACGTTTACACTTTTATAATGTGATTTTTTATCTATTTAGGGTTATGTATTCACTTGCTTTTTATATTTACTTACCAAAGGCATAGTAGCATTCCTGAAATAGGTGAGGCGCTATAGCAGTCAGAAGCCCAAACAATGCTTGTGGCAACTCCGTAGCTAGAAACAAGCCCAGCAGTGCAACCAACATCCGTGTGGTTCGATCTGTCCTCCCACCGCCGCCACCACCACCTCTTTTTCCTCCAGAGTCTTCATTATGTCGCATTTTCTCGCCCTGGTATAATTTTAATTCAAATATAAGTTATATGCTTTAAAAAAAAACATTTTGAGGGCCTTAATTTCTTTATTGCGTAAAAATATACAGTCTTAACACCCCCTTCGTCACTTTTGTAACACAAATAGAGAGAATATTTAATTGATTTTCCAATACACTTTAAAGCATCCCAAAAGCATAAACAAGAAATAAAAGATGCAAAAAAGTGCCTTAATCAATGTGCTAATAATGCTGGCAGATTTGTATGTATACTTCGCACCGTAGACAGAAGGACAATTTCATCAACATTTTTCTCAGTGATTATTACGAATTAAGTACTTATTGAGTACCCAAAATCGTATATCCGGTCATCTATTTTTTTTTATATAGGATAGGGTGACAAACAAGCACACAGTCCATCTGACGGTAAGTGGTTGCTGTGGCCCATAGACATCTACATCTATCCTCGATTACGAATCAAAATGCAGATGCGTTGTCACCCGTGAGGACTAAGATGGAATGCATTGTTTCCAATAAAAAGGGTCTCCGGTTCTCTACACTCACCATACGAAACACAGCAGCATTAAACTACTGTTTCACGCTGGTATTCTGTGAGAGCGTGGTCCTTCCCCGGTCGAGCCGACCCATTCGTGATACAACTATACTTCTGATATAACTGCAGCATGGCTCTACCACCTATTAAACCACTTATTTTACCATCTAATATTTCAATTAAGTACTAAGCTCCACTAGTTGACAGTTAGAGGTTGATGACGATGCTAACTTCTAATCTACCAACTTTTTATTTGATATTTTAAGTTAAACACTTTTACGAAAATATATTAATTAAATTTAACGGCATAAAGACTTTTCAACCGTAAGAAATTAGGAAAAGCTTATTTTCGCATCACTCGATACCTTATTACAGCTACTAGTTGAAAAAAAAGTTATACTTAACATATTGATAAACAGATAAGCCACAATCTACATGTTTTTTTTTTTATTACATATATACACCGTTTTTTTCGTAATCATAACCAGCTTGTAAGTGTCTTCTTTTATTTACATGTTACGTTATTTATACGTGGTAGAGCCACGCTGCAGCTATATTATGGTTGCAGCACGAATGGGTCGGCTTCCATGGTAGGGGAGAGCCACCCTCTCACAGAATACCAGCGTAAAATGGCAGAATAGTGCTGCTTCATGTTGTATGTGGAGTGTAGAGAACCAGAAAGCCTTTTCACTGGAAACGAGAAATCACATCTTAGTCCTCAGGGGCGACAACACATGTGTTGATATATTTAGGCCATAGCATCCACCTACCATCAGATTAACGTATGCATATTTGTAGCTTTTACCTCTCAAAGAAGAAATTATCATATTTACATAATATTTAATTTGAACTTGAATACGTCAGGTTGGTTAGTTGCATAAGAATATTAATTATTTTCTCTATGGGCTAATTTTTGGTCGATCTACCATGCTTAGGACTAATATCCTAGATCATCGGTTCCCTATGCCATTAGCAACACAAATTATCTTTGGTTTAAAAAGTTACCATGCCCATACAATCATCATCATCATCATCATCATTACAGCCCATCACAATCCACTGCTGAACATAGGCGTCTCCTACGAGATATGCTATAGTAAAATTTTTACTTTTTAGAAAACATTATATCTTTGCTCTTTAGAAATATATAAGAGAAAAAGCAAATAAAATAACATCATTAGCTGTTTGGAAACAGTCCTAAATTATATTCGACACTTATTCTCATAATAATCACGGTCTCTTTCTATCTTTTACACGACGTTCGTAAATATTCGTTCATAACGACGTTCATAAATATATAATTACCTCATTTGTTGAGATTGTTGACTTTTTCAGAAGCTTTTGCCTTCTTCGATCACTGGATTTCATTTTTAAAATAAGACACACACTTAAAATTGATAACACAATACAGGGGATAAGTTTTAGGAAAACACTGTAAATCCAAAATATTGCTGTCAATAAATTCTCGTTACTGGTCATGGATATTGCGTATTTGGGATCATAGCTCTGTGACATATTTGTTATCTCACCTACGTCAAGTGTTTTATTTCTATTGTCACCTCCAGTATCAGAGATTTCTTGTATATTCATAGCAAAATAAATAGGAAGACACATTATTGGACACACGACATACGCCACAGCTATAGCAATGTTCGTATTTTGTTTACTACAGAGAATTTTATTCTTCTGTGGAAACCTGATAGCGATAAATCGCCATACGGCAAGTGTGATTGTTAGCCAGATGGAAACTGTATGGAAAGTTTGACTGAAAATCGAATGAAAATAGACAAATACTGCCCAGCCATAAGAATTTCGATGTAATTCTGATCCTATATTTGTATAGATATGTAGCGCTAAAGGAATGTAATCGAGCATGACTAAGAGATCAGCCACAGCTAGAGCAGTAAGGATAGAGTTAGTTGATGAAACCATCTCTTTGCGGCTTAATACAGCAATGTTGACGGAGTTCGCAGCGGAGCCAAGTAGACAAATAATAAGTGCAATGTAACCATGAACTTTCACATAAATTCGTCTGAAGTCTTGGCCACCAGGAACGCAGTAGGTCACCATGATGTTAACACAGGTAACTTTCTCTTCTTTTGTTACGAAGGTGTTTGTTATGTTCCCAGACCATAAATGGTGACTATAAACGTGACCCTGTTGTTGTAAGCTTCTGTTGCATATGTTGCATTTTCTGAAAATAAAGAAGATTTATTATAAATAAAATGCGTAGTAAATAATAACTAATCTGTAAATATATAATAGTTTTATACGTGGTAGAGCCATGCTGCAGTTATATTAGTAGTATAGTTGTTGCACGAATGGGTCGGCTCGACCGGGGAAGGACCACGCTCTCACAGAATACCAGCGTAAAATAGTAACATAATGCTGCACTGTTTTGTATGATGAGTGTAGAGAACCTGAGATCCTTTTTACTAGAAACGAGGCATTCCATCTTAGTCCTCACGGGTGACAACGCATCTGCATTTTTATTTGTAATCGAGGATAGATGTTGATGTCTATGGGCCGCAGCAACCACTTACCATCAGGTGGACGGTGTGCTCGTTTGTTACCCTATACTATAAAAAAATAGTCACTTGAAATAAACACACTAGCAACTATTGCCGTTTTATTATAACTATTCATTGACAAACCATCATTCCTATATAAATTATAACTTAAGTCATCCGTGGTGACTCAGGGGCGGAGTTCTTGTCTTAATAAAAACCTATCCACACTATTACGTCAGCACTCATAAAATCAAAAACGAAAAACTAGTGAGGAAACTTATATATCTAAGAAATAAAGCATTTCCAATTCAATAATATATGACGCCCGCCAAAATGCACTCTTCTCTGCATATTTTTTCTCACAAACTATTTATCTCTTATCTCTTTTCTTAACCAACCTTTGTAAATTCCCTGGAAGGGATGTATGCCTTTTCTAAATCTGTCTTTTGCTTCACTTTACATAACTAGATCGGCTTTTTCTTTATGAATACACCGAGCAGATCCAACAAAGAGATTTCCCGTTTAACCGAAAAATATTCATCTTACTAAAAACCGGCGGAAAAATATTAAATTGCTCTTACTTTTTTCAAGGATAATTTACAGGACACGAGCACACCGACAACCTGATGGTAAGTGGATGATATCCTCTATTGCGAATCAAAATGCAGATGCGTTATCACCCGTGGGAACTAAGGCAAAATGCCTCGTTTTCAGTTAAAAGAGTCGCCGGTTCTGTACACTCACCCTACGAAACACAGCAAGAATACCTGCATAAATATTATATAAGTATTCTGTTAAAGTTTGGTCCTTCCCCGGTTGAGTATGATTCTTTCGTGTTACAACTTAACTACTACAGATGCAGCATGGCTTTACCATTTAAAGTTAAAATTACTTATTCAACATTTGATAAAAATGTAAGGAATATGGCACCATTATTTTTTTAATATTGAGAGGTCAAATTGTAAATAATCACTACGATTTAAAGAGAGTCTGGATAGTAGAACATAAATTTGTCAGTTTGTATTTTTATAGATTCGCTATGTGCGTTTCGCGTCGTATAAAAAGTGAAAAAGTGAGTCAATAAGGTCCTCTATAGATTTAGTTTCTAGAAGGTAATAATCGAAATAGTTAAAATCAAAAACGTATTTAACCTCATCATCCAGGAGACTTGTAAATGTATATCGTGATGATGCTGATGAAGCTTGGTGTAGGTGCGTCACACGGCAATATTTTTGGGATATTTTACACTGCAGCTATACCTTCAGGCAGTCCATGACGATAATATATGCTAAGTTCGTAATATCTAATATATAAGGTCTATACATAGTTTTTGTTCTAAAAATATAAATTTATAACAATGGGTGGTCTAAAAGCAACATTAATAAACAATTGAAACCTCAGCATATCGAGCTGACCATATATTAACAGACGCATGTATTAATCCTATAATCTTCATAAATGATAACAATTATGATGACAGTTATTGATGGTATAACTTTGGACAGTGTAACGAAATTCTTCAATAAAATAATACTTCAGTATATTAATAGTTCTTTGGAGGTACACTCATATGTATGTAAATATACATACACATGAAATTTATATAAAAATCAAGTAAAATTGAAGTGTTTCTCCGTGATAGGGAAATAACTGCCCTTGGTTGAATTAAGAGGGTTATTTTTATGCCCCTAAGACATAAATAACTGTTTTTGGAGTAAAACTTCATTACGCACACTTGACTTGGGGAGTAAGCTGGCGAACGCGTGACGAAATCGTTACAAAAAGTGTGATCGGGCAAGGCAAACGGGAGTTGAGTGGGGAATATAAGCAAGAGAGAGCAGTGCGCGCGCAAATTTTGTTCCTTTTTGTTTTGAACAATTTTATGATTAATATTGAGTTCAACACATTAAATATTACACGTTTATATTCTTGTGTTTTCCAATAATAATTTTAAGCTTATATTCTGTTTTCTCTTTATTTTTCATGTTAAGTTACAATCAGAATGTAAACCGCTTGCGCATTAAATAATGACTATAGTATAATATGTATATCTGAAAATAACTTTAACGCTAGTGTGTAATGAGGAATTTTTCGACGAACGTTACAACGTTTATCGTAGCGATAGATGTGAACACCAATTAAAATAGTTACGGAAGAGGTGTTATTCTCACTGTAAAAAAATGTTTTAATGTCATGCGTCGCGGGATCTGGGACAGTGACTATGAGGATCTATGAATATATATACTCCCTAATGATAATTACGCGATGGCGATTAATCTCTCTGTTTGTTACTTGCCTCCTTACATATTCCATTCAAAATCCATGTCATTCAAGCCAAAGATTTATAGGTCATATTCAAAATTTTGTTTTAAATAATGACGAACTTGGGTCTTTCAGTATCGTAGGTGATTTTAATATCTCTAACATCGACTGGAATAAGTTAAAAGTTCAAAAGGATTACTACTCCCGGGGTGAAGTAAAAAAGCTTACACTTTGCTTAATATAATGGCTCTATATAGCTTTAAACAGTTTAATTTCTTAACAAACTGTAATGATCGAACGTTAGACTAAATTTTGCCAAATTTCCATGATGTGTATGTGACTGCGGCACTACTTGTAATTAAACCTGATAGACATCACCCTTGCTAGAATATATCCATTGGACATCAGCAAGCATTTAAACCCATCAGGCCTAATCCAGTCAATTTAAAACCAAATTTCCATAAATACAACTTTATAAAGATAAAAAATCATTTAGTTAATAAAAATTGGCAACATATTTTGGCTGAGGAGAATGTAGATGATACAGTTGAACTATTTTATCAAGAATTAAATAAAGCTATTTTTACCGCATTCCGTTGCAATCCGCTGAACCGTAATGCCATACACGGTGACACCCTGAAGAAGGCAACCGCGAAGGGAACGTGAGTGGCACTACACACCGCATCAGATAATGATTCGAAGAGCCAGGAGGGGCCTCAACGGAAACTTGATATCCGACTGGATGAGAGGTCATCAGAAGGTCCAACAGTTTAGGTTTATGATTTACGACATCTGGAATCCGCGTAAGCGAAGTAACCAGTTGTGTCAGACCATATGCCAAGGCAAAATCATAAACAGATCTCCTCGCATGATCAGTCAAACGTTAACGCGTGGCGTGGTGAGCGTTAAAATCGAAATCGTCAAATCACTACGGATGGAATATTTTTTAGCAAGGAATCTGTAGCCATTTGGAAGTGGTCGATTACTCGGTCTGTTTCGGCATTACCACTATGAGATTTATAGAGGCACCCGTAGACGCGCGGATGATCGTCGCTGTCTACACACAGCCAAAGCATGGACAGGTCAGTACCTTCAAGACTGTCTAGACGTCGAGAAAAAATATCATCACTGAGTCCCAATGCTAATCCCAATGGTAAAACCTCTACACTTGTCGCTTTACGGTCAATTCCACTTTTCCAAACCTCTTAACCCAAGCCCGTCCCACAAGGCTCTTCTTCCTTGGCCGTTGACTTGTCATAAGTCTGCGGTTTTATCAGCAACATTAACGTTACTAAAATATATTCTCTGACCCACAAACTCCGCGGAGCCACCACCCCTCAGCACAAGCTCAATGCTGCGATTGAACATATAGCACTAATGGACGCAATCTGGCTCACTAGCTTACCAAAATAGCATAATGGTAAAACAATAGCTAAGTGAACTCAAACCATGTTCTCTAACTGTCGCGTTCTTTAATGCAAGCGGTATTAGTGACCAAAAAGATGAAATCGCGATCTTCCTGCGCAACCATGATATAGACGTTATGCTAGTACAAGAGACCTTCTTGAAGACTAGCCATCGCAATGCTATAATCGCAAACTACACTTCATCCAGAAATAGGTTGCCTTTTTAGTGGTAATTTTTGACCGTTTTTTCGCCAGGTCCTCCTTCCTGGACGCCTGGAAGAACGGACGTATAGGAATCCCGAAACCAGCAAAACCGCGCAACTTTGCTTCCATCTACCATTAATGTCCTCGGCACACTGAGGAAAATATACGAGCGATTCACGGTAAATCATCTCCAAAATACATCTTTGCTAACAAACTTCTTCTAGATGAGCAGTTTGCCTTCAGAACCAAACACTCGTGCACCAACCAGTAATATAACCTTATAAATAACATTCTGAAAGGCTTCTACCTCTCAAGAAATCGTAGAGCCACTAACACCGATACCGTCTTCTTCGTTGTTGCAAAAGCTTTTAACGAAGTCCTATGTGGGATGGCTTACTTTACAAGCTATATAAACTCAACGTGCCTGATAGGTTCACTCACATCATCAGAGCCTTTCTTGTCAACCGCCACTTTCGCTATCAAATAGAGGGAACTCGCTCTTCAAAGCGCCCCCTAAATGCTGGAGTCCCACAGGGCTTCGTCCTCTTCCCACTTCTCTTTACACTCTTCGCAAGTGACATCCCGAAAAACCCACTAGTGAACACTGTCCTTTTCGCCGATGACACGGCACTTTTCGTCACTTCTCTTAACAGAAGAATTCTCACTATGATGCTCCAAATAGCGGTCCACCGCTGAAGCGATTGATTCCGCTTATGGAGAAAGTAAATGAATCTTGAAAAAGTGTAGCAATATACTTTCACAGGACCCTTACTTTCAAACTTCACAACAAAAAACCCATGTAATACACACAT